TATTATTATTACTATGAAATACAACTCTCCTAAGACCGGTTGTAAACGGCATGAAACTGTTGTGATGTGCAGAAATGGGCGTGACTGAAGCTTCTTAAAGAGACAGAGGCCAATTTCAGGGCGTTCAGAAACATATTTGATGTGAAGTCAAATTAATTTTTGATTTATGCTTATTGACARCATTTTAATAACTGAAGGAGACATCGTTACTTTGTTTTGGTATAGAATTGAATTATATACCTTAGAAACACATAATACTGGACCTTTTAATGGTAGAAAACCTGTTAAAACAGTAAATGTATTCTCTTTGATTTAATAAATTTGGCCCCAAATCACTGATTATTGCCCACCACAGAAGATGAAAGGGTGATAATGCTTTTGCCTGTGTTTATGTGAGTGTGCATGTGTTCATTCTTGCCTGTTAGCAAAATATCTCAAACTTTAAGAATATAATTTCTGTGACGTGTTTGTTAAAATGAAGTGCTCCTCTTCRTCTTCTAGAGGAACCATCTTTGTTGGCTAAATATTTACCATCACATCAGCAGAGGTTCATATTAATGTGAATAAATTTGCATATTTTTCCTTTTTTTTTCCAGAGACAGATTACCTTTGTTAGTAGATTTTAAAAACACTCCCACGCAGTTCATTATTTCTCTCATGTGCAGTCCTGGTTTTTTATGTTTTGTCACTCTGCCTTCCGTTTCATTTTTCTCTCCCAACAACTGAATTAATGTTTTTTTTATTCTTATTACTGCTCACTCATGAGACAGACTCTGAAAAGATTTGGTAGCAACTGAACATTCAAACAAAGATGCTGCAGATAAGAGGTTTTGTCTGTGTGAAAATCAAACGGCAGTGGTGGGCAGCGCTAATCCAAAAATTAGCTCTGCAATTTCTAAAGCACTTTTGAAAATATTTAGTCCGCAACTTCAAAAGCGCTTATACCGTAGAAAAACTAGCAGAAGCTAATTTTAAAGCACAAGTTCAATTTGACACTAGCTGGCAACAATTCATGTACAATATGAGCACAACACTGCCAACTAGTGGTGTATGAACTCTTTTACAGCTTGATCCTACAACCACCGATTGCTGGGGATGTGATTTCCTGAAACAGACCTTTAGCTCCTGGTGTAAAAATTAAAAAGTTGTTGAGGATTGCTAGTTCGG